GGCTTCGGCGGACGCCCGACACGCTCTGGGCGATTCCCGCGTCTGCGCAGCTGTGTGTCCGCGCGCATGCGCGCCACTCTTCCCGCCTGCGCGCCCCTCCTCCCGCCCGCAGCAGGGACGCTTGTCCGTGGCTCCTGCTGTAAGGGAAGTGGGGACTATAGTAAATGCATTACATTTTATTTTTGTTATATGAAATGGAGTGATTAATAACTACAAGTAATGTAACATTTGTCACATAAATGAATGTGATCAAGATACTCATTTGTATTAGAAAAACACAACACTTAGAGAATTTTTTTGTGTGTTTCTCTGTAAGCTAGCCAGTCACTTTGCTTTTGTTGGCAGCCATATAAATCTAATTGACACAATGCATGCCTTTGTCAGTGAGCAGCTCATAGACTCATAGGTGATATTTACAGGAAGCTCACAGACTTCAGTTCATGACAGGGAAGCTTGGCTGAGTAAGGGCCGTGGCTGAAACCACAGGGTGTGTGTGCTCATGCAGGAGAGAGGAGCTCAGCCCTAGCCTCCTGACGGCCACGGCGTTGTGCAGAAACTCTGGCTAATCACCTGCATTCCCATGACCTGCTAGGTTTTATGTATAGTTTTGTTGACATAAATTCTTGTCTTTCTCTTCCTTACAACTAATACTGAGCACACTGGATACAAAAATAAAAATGATGTGTGTAATGGAGATAAAGCCATTTTAGGAAATGAAGTGTTACGACAAATTGATTTATTTGTAGTATATGTGGGACTTTAATGTTCTACAGATTAGTGCAAGAAATGCCTTTCCTAAAGGGAGTGAAATCGAATGTGTTTAAATAGGGGAGAGAGCATGCCTAGATTCTGCATGTTTATGTATCTGCAAAAAAAAACTATCTTTTTACACCTTGATAAGATGTACAATGAAACCCTTCTCTTTTTCTTATGAGAATTGTTACAGATAGAAGAAAGTATGAATTGTGGAAAGTTGCCTTTCTTTAATACATCAATAGTAACAAAATATGTCACAATTGTAAAATGATTATGAATCAATAAAAAATGTAAAAAATAAAAAAATAAAAAAAAAAATAAAAAAGGTCACAATCACTTAAAGGGATTATTGTAAACTTTCTACATTCCTGGGAATCAGCAGAAAAATCTCAAGGGACAGATCATTAAATCTTCTTCATCAGTGTTAACCTGGACCACGGCTCAGGAAACATCTCTGAGGGTGCAAGACTCTTATTAGAAGCATGTTTAGGAATCTCTGTTTTTCAAAAACCACTTCTGCAGAAATCAACTGGGTAGTTACCAGGCATTTCTGGAAACCATATGTAACTGAGGACATTCAACTCATTAGAAATATGATAAATTATAAATGGTAAAGGCTGAAAGGGGCAAGTTGTGGGGGAAATATAAATTATAAATGGATGCTACAAAAATGAGAAACTCATAACTAGAAAGGAGATAACTGCCATGAATTACAAAAAGAATAAACACAAAATTGTAAAAGAAGATATCTAAATCATTAATAGTGGGAGAAGGAAGCAAGGAAACCCACTGTGGAAAACAGTATGGAGATTCCTCAAAAGACTAGGAATAGACTTACCATATGACCGAGGAATCCCGCTCCTGGGCATGTATCCAGAAGGAACCCTACTTCAAAATGACACCTGCACCCCGATGTTCATGGCAGCACTATTTACAATAGCCAAGACATGGAAACAGCCTAAATGTCCATCAACGGATGATTGGGTAAAGAAGATGTAGTATATTTATATGATGGAATACTATTCAGCCACAAAAACTGACAACATAACGCCATTTGCAGCAACATGGATGTTCCTGGAAAATGTCACTCTAAGTGAAGTAAGCCAGAAAGAGAGAGAAAAATACCATATGAAATCACTCTTATGTGGAATCTAAAAAAAAAAAACAAAACCAAAAACAAAACATAAATACAAAATAGAAACAGATTCATAGACATAGAATCCAAACTTGTGGTTGCCAAGGGGGCGGGGGGTGGGAAGGGTCAGACTGGGATTTAAAAAATGCAGAATAGATAAACAAGATTATACTGTATAGCACAGGGGAAAATATACAAGATCTTGTGGTAGCTCATAGCAAAAAAAAAAA